AAGCAAACAAGGTTTGAAAGTACTAATTATGGATGATGATGGTATTATTGACAATAAAAAAATGAATGTTGTATACAAAGAAGTGTTTAATAATATATGATACATGGTTTTTATTTTATTAATGTTTTACATATTTACCTTATATTTGTTCAGTTTATATTGTGTTATAAATATTGTTTTACAACTTCATCTTATTAACTCATATTATTATTAATTCTTAAGAGGCTCATTTTTCTTTTATGTTTTGCATTATAATTATCCGACCATAGAGGATCTGCATGTGCTACGCAAATTCTCTCACCCGGACTCCGTACTTCATACAGAGCTTTAGAGAAAGACTGCATGTACTACGCAAAGTCTCTGACCAAACTTTCGTAATTCATACAGAGCTTTAGAGAGGTACTGCAGAAACCACGCAACACCTCTATGCCTGATTCTGTGCTTCATGCAGAGCTACGCAGAGCTACACAACAGCTCTGCATCTACAATGCAGAGCCTCTGTTCACAGAAAATTTATACAAACTTGTAGTATTGACTAATTTTAGCAATTAACTCTTGAAAAGAACTTCACACTTGTAGCCAGATTGGTCGTCTTGATTTAGAAGTCTTGCAACGCTAGATATTGTCCGTCGTGAACTCTAGAGGATTTCTTAGCCCTTGTGTTTGTGAAGCCTGATTCCGTCCTTCATACAGAGCTTAACAGAGGTTCTGCACGTGCTATGCGGTCAATCTGAACCAGACTCCGTGTTTCATACAGAGCTACACAGAGGTTCTACATTTAAGTCTTAAGAAAGAGCTCTGTCTCTTCACGTAATGTGTCAAGGCTCTGTCTCTTACTCGGAAGATGGCCTTCAGACTTGTAACTCTGAATAGTTTCCGTCTTAATCTCTGGAAACTTTCTTTACGCTTGTGTCCTTAAAGCCTAATTCCGTTCTTCATACAAAGCTTAACAGAGGTTCTGCAGGTGCTATGGGGTCATTCTGACCCTGCCTCCGTCCTTCATACAAAGCTTCATAGAGGCTCTGTACTTGTCTTGAGTAAGAGTTCTATCTCTGCATGTACTACCCAGAGCCTCTGATTCTCTTTGCTTGTCTCATACAGAGGTATACAAAGGCTCTGCATGTACTATTAGCAGCGCTGCATATTAGATCTACATTGTTCATCTTCATTTAGAAGTTTTTCTGATCATCAAAGCACATGTCATCTTTTGTATATGTAACATTTAATTCTCCAGTAAGAGCATCTTTATATCAAAAATTTAATCGGACTTGTACCTTTGTCTAAGTTTATAAATTACCTCCGATTATTAATTCTTTATACAATACATATTAGTTTCGCTTAGTTTTTGTCATTAACCCGTGTAATACACGGGTCCGAACCTAGTATATATTATATATTATCTAATATATAATTGATTCGTATTTTTAATTTATGTTTGATCATTGATAAGGTTCAAAGAAAAGATGGGTTATCCATGAAGAATCGATTCCAAACCACAATGGGCTATTCAAAATATTTTATAATATGATACAAATAAAAAAAAAATTCATAAAAAATACGCGATTTGGAAAAAACCAGTATTTGATTCTTTTTTCCTCTTCCAATTACTCCCCTCTTTACGGTTTAAGAGTATTTAAAAAAATCTTAATTTTTAGATTGTCTGCAAAAATGTCATTTTAATCTCGGTCATCTACTTATTAATCTGACGGATATAAAGGGTTTCTTTGTTTTCATTTTTTTTTTGTTATGAAAAAGGACTGTATGAAAACTTTTATCTTTCATTAAGAATTGTAAGAACTCTTTATAAGCCCTTTTTATGGAAAAGACATGTCGGACGTTGTTGCACATTCCTAAGAAAATGGAACGCTAATGGCATGATCATAAGAAAAGTCGAATTTTCGCATAAGTTGACATTGGAGGTGAACAAAGAAGGGACCTTAACCGGTCCTAAAAAGACCTATCGTTTTTAGTCAAAAGAAAAGATTGTACCAGAAAATAACATGGTCGTGCCTTAACCCGTCCTTGATCAAAATTGAGAACCAAATCTGAATCGACAGTCTTAACTTGTCCAAACAATCATTTTATTGATACACCACAAATTTTTATTTTGATATCGTTTTAATTTTTTTTAGTTATAATAAATAATTCGGGTAAAAGCAATTGGTTTTTTCAGGCTTTGACTAGCTTTTTTGGGATTTAATTGGACTTTGACCCGTCCTTAATCGGAATGCTTTTTTATTAACCAATGACAAATTTTCAGGCTTTGTTATGGATTTTTTATCCGGTTAAAAACTAGTCCTAAGTTTGGATTTAAAACAAAAACATACTTTCATCTATAACTAACATTTAGGCAGGACCTTTTTTTTTATTAGCCTAGATATCCAACCCGCTATGCGAGCCGACTAATCCCAAGGCGATTACTTGCTTTACAGATAGCCCGAAGTCACCGCATTTGAACATCCGTGGCCACAAGGAGATCTTTATTTCTTCTTGGATTTTTTGAACCTGTTAGTAGTTCTTATCAATCCAAAATCAGTTGATAAGTTTTTTGTGCATTTCTAATTAGCATTAACAAATGTTAATATGAGAAATATTAACATATCATTTAAAACATTAAATTAATATCAAAATAAAAATAAAAGAATTAAAGATTTACTTTTGAAATTTATTGAGGCCCAAAAAGCCCAAAGCCTAAGGCCATCTTTTGATTCATTAATATATAGAGTCCAACCTCCAAGCCAAGTCAACCCTAATTATTGATCTTGGCCCAATCGATAAATGAATGGGAAAAAGTGTACTATGAAGTAGTGATGGCCAAAAATCGGTTCGGACCGGGTCCAATCAGTTCCAAGATTTTTCATAACTAGTCATAACCGGTCTTGGCGTAATCAGTCCCGGTCCTCCTTGAAAAAGTTGAGCCCCATCAAGTTTTATTGTAACCGGTTATGGGTCGCTGGTCCCGATCCCAACCGGTCCTGGTCATTAAAAAATATTTTTTAATGATATATATTTTTAATACATTATAAAATTTGTAATTTGGCCACTCAAATACACTTTAAAAATGCGTTTTATTATAATTAAAATTACATTGTCTTTCAAAATATAGCGATAAATCGATAATTGTGAACATTTTTTTGCGTTTTTTACGAATTGAGAACTTGGTATATAAATCTCTCAACCAAGACACCTATATATAGTGTTTAGAAAGCAAAAAATACAAAAAAGAACCAAAAAACGGCTACATTTAAAAAAAATAGCTACATTTTTTAAAAATCGGGTCGGACTGGTCCATAACCAGTCCCGGTCCCACGAAACACCCCAAATCCATAATCGGTCCCAGATTTTCAGTCCTATAACTGGTCCTTACCGGTCCCAGGCGGGGCCGGGCCGATTTGGTCATCACTACTATGAAGTGAGAATTTTCTTTGTATTTCTTCCATATGCGGTTATAGCCGTTTACTTTTGACTCAATGAGCTTAACGACTAAATGGCTTACTCGTACAGACATTTTAGGGTGTTTATTTGTAGCTTAATTAAAAATTAGCTAACTTATTCAACTCGAGTTGTTACATTGTCCAAATTCAACCGTACAAAATACATCTTCTACCCTTGTTAAAAAAACACCCTGGATGTCTCTGTCCAAATTATCCTTCACGATCAACCATTCTCCATCTATTGCAATTACCCTTTTCAAATAAATTTAAACCTCGTATCTGAATCCTTCGTTACGAACAATAACACCAGTTATCGATTTCCAATAGTACGTCTTTTTGGATTTGCATGGACTTGATTTAAAATCGAGAAAAATACAAACACGAGATGGAGTAATTGAAATCTAGGAATGCTAATATGTGATTCTTTGATAAAGTGTTTTTTAAGAGTCGATTCAAATAAAAATGCTAAATATCGTGGAAAATAAATAAGAAAATAATATTATAAGAAAAATTCATATGTGAATAATTGAAAAAATCAATTTGACATGCATATATAATTTCATAAGAATAAAATATAATGTCAGTTTAAATAGATTAAATGTTTTAGTAATATAATTAATGATAAAATTGTTAAAATAAATGATTTAGTTTTTTAAAAATTCTCTATTTTAAAAGGGAAAGGTCTAAAAAAACCCAATGGACTTTAGTGTTTGGAATGAATAAGTCATTGGACAATTTTTTGGAACAAATAAGTACTTGGACATTTCAAAACATGTTTAATAACTCAATGAACTTTCTAAAACTTGTTAGATACATCTTTATGACCTATACAACCGGTTAATTTGGTAAAATAATGGAAAAAGTCTGAAAAAAAAGTCAATAAACTTTCATATTTGAACGTTTAAGCCTCTAAACATTTTTTGAGTCAAAAGAGTACTTAGATCTATAAAAATAAGCAAATATACCAAAAAATTACTTACAATTACGAAAAAAATACTTACATTTAAAAAAGATTATTGATAAAATTTATTTTAATTAAAAATAAATATATTCTCTCAGTGATTTTGCAAACTAAAAAAAATATTTAAAAATGATTACTGATTAAATCTAATTTAATTTAAAACAAAATGTATCCCGTATGTGATTTTTCAAATTAAAAAAGAAAGATTTAAAATGATTACTAATTAAATTTATTTTAATTTCTGTATATTTGTTTTTTATAGTCAAATGGTGTTACCGTTTGAAAAAAATTTCCTATATTTTTTTTTCTTATGGCCAAATGGTGCACCGTTTAAAAAAAATTATGGGTTCGTCCCTGACACATCTCTTATACGTATAAGATTAAATCGAGCGATAAACAATATTTCTAGGAAACTAAATATCGAAGACACATACTTATTTAAAATAAACCGATTATGTATTTATGATATTTAATAATATGATTAAACTTAAAAAAAATAAAAAATAAAGAGATTTAACCATTAAATTTAGTGTATACATATTCATGATGTAATTAAATTTTGATAATCCAAAAACAAAGATTAAAAAAAAGAATTATTTGATAACATGGCAAATTACTTTTCCTATTTCCTCCTCCTCCTCTTCACGACGGTGGCACTCACCACCACCAATCTCCGCCGCCTCTCCGCCACAGGCTCACTGTCACCTGCACCTTCTCCATCGACTCGACCCCAACTCCCGGTCTCTGCTCTACCCATTTCACCACCCTCACCGCCGCCGCCACCACCGGAGTACATCCAGCAAGAACAACTCAAGAATATAATCGACGCCCTCATCGGCGCCGGAGACTTCGCAGCGTGGGCAAACATTCTGTTCAATCCCAACACTAATTCATCTATCCCTACAACAGCAACCGCTGCACTCATCCCAACCACCGCCACCATGTTCGTCCCTGGCAACGACGCTCTAACCCACCTCTCCGCCACCGCCACCGGCGCCTACAATTTCGATCCCTTCATCATCCCTTACCACATCCTCCCACAACGCCTAACATTCTCGGAGCTCCAACTCTTTAAAACCCAAACTCGACTCCCTACACTGTTGCCTTCAAAAACCGTCATAATCACCAACAATACCGCTGCCAATTTCACCATTGATGATTCCTTAATCGAACAACCAGATATTTACCTCACCGCCGCCGTCTGCGTCCATGGTATCGCCACCATCCTCGATTACACGGTCTACGGTGATGCTGATTCAACTCCGCCCAGTAATTCCCTTCCGCCACCACCATTGCCGACGCCCGACACAACTCTCACTCCTCCGCCGGAACTTGTAAGAAGTCCATGCGGTTTTGTTTCAGGCGCTGATTTCTTCGTACTTTTGTTACTAATTTTTGCTTGTATATCCAATCGGTAGAAACCCTTTTTCAATTTTCTTTAATTTCAAGATTGTATTCGTTCAATTCTTGTCAAGAACTGAAAAAAAGTTTGAAATCTCCGGTACTGCTTGTGCATGTGTTTCTTTAATTTCATGATGTCAAAGAGTCGTTGATCAAGCCCCACTTATGATCTCATTAAGCAGATTCTATGTTTGTGACAAAGACTTTAGTTCAGTTGAGACAACACTTGGATGGTGCACGATTATATTGAATTTCAGCACTAAAAGAATTGCTTAGTGGGAAAAGAGGTGGATTATTGTACTATTAGGTACTTCTATTTTACTGTTAGTTGCACAATAGTACTTAAGTCAGACGTGCTTATAAACACTTGAAATAGGAAATCTTGACTTGTTGGGGTGTGCTTAATTCATAAAGAAAATGTATCACCACTCATGAGAAGTATAACCCTTGCAAGAGTAATGGGATTTAATTACCAAGCTTCTTTGGTTCTTTGATCACTAACAAACTGCCTTTAGCATAGAACTTAAAGAGCATCAAATGCGACTACTTGATTCTACAATAAAATCCAATGAAGGCGAAATGAAAAACAGAAGCTGCCCCCTTGGACCATCACTCCATTAGCAGAACTAAACCAGCGTTTAAGAGTGGCACCCGAAGATCCTCTGTTAAGAATGATAATCCCATCCGAAGAGCTTATTTCCCTGATGAACAATTGGATAGATGGGTTGAGATTTTGGATGAAGACGGAAATTCACAAATGTTGGTTGGCTTCCCCAGTTAAAGGTACATAAAAGATCCTCTGTTTAGTTACTTCTATGGTATGCATGCTAGATGTTTATAAAAATGCCATAGTGAAAAATGTGTGATTTGTTATGCATTCTACATTTTATTGGTGTTCTCAATGGGATTTATTCAACCAAGTTATCTTCCAAGGAGGACCGAGTTGTATCGCTATGGGTGATGCTAGATCAATGAAACTTGAAATCTTTTTGTATGGATGCAGTTATATTACTCATTAGTACATTAAGCCAAATCTGAAATTTTGAGGATATGGTGTATAACAACAAGAAGATTCAACTTGAGCATCTTGTGAAAGAAACCATGCATATGTTGCATGTTTATAAATCCATTCAACCTTTTTATTTTTGCAATAGGTTGGTAATATGTTTGTGCCAAATCTTTTCCTTCTTTATTCAGCTAGAGAAGGCAAATATATATACATCCCAAGGTCAAAGACCGGCAGCAACTAGGATACCTCAAAGGAAAATGTACAAGTTGTGGCTAGAAACAAGGAAGGGAAAACAATCTAAAAGAATAATTACCAGAAAACATAGCACGAGTCTGAATATAACACCAACCAAAAAGGAAACATAAAGATACAGAATACAGAAAGGAGATCTTCGCTTCAACAGTTAGCAAGTGGCTCACTACTGGTCCTACAATATAACCATATCCCCTTTGACCGATCAAAATATATCATTGTCAACTTTAAATATTCTGTACTTCACGCCATGACAAAAAGGTGGAAACTGCATGTATGATCTAGAGGGCTTAATTTATTTCTGTTTACAGTTATAAAGAGCTTTGTTGCAAGTTCCAGAAGAATTCTAGAAGAATTCTTATTCTCAGATCTAGTCTACTATAAAGATGTAAGCTTTAGATCACCTTTGTACCTTTTTGGTCATAACATCTCTTTATCTATTTTTAACAGTGCATTTTATCAGATTTATGACAGAGGACAGCATATAGCATCATCTTCCTAAGAAATTGGTGCCAAGGTAGACCGATTTTTAAAGGGTTGGGAGATGGGTTGATCATTTGATAGATGGTTCAGTGTAGCCAATTTAAATGGACTGGGTGTATGTGAAACACTAGAGAGCCCAAGACCACCATTCCGTCCTGCTGAAAAGAACAATGGAACCAAGTCCTGTTCTCGCACTAGGGAAGTCGGTTCTAGGTACAAATCACCAACATTAACGCGTTGCCCTTCTCCAAACACAACAGAAGTTACAACAATGTTGTCAGCTATTTCAAATAGAGTTGTTTCTGCAGAAAGAAGGCGTATGTTCCCAAGGGTTTTCTCAAGTGATTCACGCTTCTGCTCCATTCCGGCTCATGAGGTGGCTGTTGAGATTTCCCAGAGTCCCTTTTTGGTTAAGTATTTACGTTTCTGATGGAAATCTCATACTTCTACAGGATGGGGAGATGTTCGATTAATAATGCATCATTCAAATACCAATGTAAGTTCCATTCAAGCTTCATCATTAATCTTTTGCCATGGATATGCTATGATCATTCTTAAAAACTAAATAAATTTATGACTTATTATATTTTGTACAGAGATGAGCAAAAGATTATGCTCAGACACCGACACCAGCAAAATGTTTTACTTCATCAGTCCACATAAGAATCAACTAATCCATAGATATCTAAAACCACCGGTTGGCATTAGTTTTCCCATTTGCATCTTGTTTATTTTATAAGTCATCTTTTGACACATGATTACAGTTAATTACTTCTATATGTGCAAAACTATATCATTGTTGAAACATGATCACTGAATAATTACCATAAGCTAACGTTTTAATAAGCCACAACACTTGAAGGATATCCTTGTTTATCCTTCTACAATAGTAAAGTAAACCATGGGTGAAAAAAATCCCATAAATGAGTATCAGCTCTTCTGATCTTTTTTTTGAAGTATATAATATTTATATACCGCAAATACAACAAATAAACTCAAACACCCTCCTCACCTTGGTGAGGTTTGAACCCCTGATCTCTTAGGAGGCCAAGGATTACGATATCGCTAGGCCAAAGGCCCTTTGGTAACTCTTCTGATCTTGTTGTGTCTGAAACGATGATATTTATTCTTTTGCACAAGACATGGTTATATTTATTTGTTCACATTGTTACACTGTTGAAGAGACTTAATTTTGAAAGAACTAACCTTATTTTAAATTTTACTGCGAAGTAGCATAGCCCGTTTTGACTTCTGTTTAAAGTCAAAAGAAAACAGATGAATGATGGGTTTTCCATCATTAAGAGAGAATATAAGAATCTTAAAAACAGAGGATATTAATAAAAGAATAGTTAGGGAAGATTAATAAAAGAGGTTTCCTTGTGGGGTTTCATTTGTTTATCGTTAATTAAACAATGGTTTAGCCTTTATGTTTCAGATGTATGTGGTAGGGGGAATTGCAGGATTTTCAACATCGACAAGGATGACATTGGCAGAGATGATGCTAATATTATGCCCAATCATTCCGGATGATGCTTTGCATCCTCTGTATTACCGCGACTGCTGGCACAGAGTTAGCCGATGCTTATTCCCCGGATATCGTCATTGCTTCTTCTCCGGGAAAAGAAGTTCACGACTCGTGGGCCTTTTACCTCCACGCAGCATTGCTCCGTCAGGCTTACCCATTGCGGAAAATTCCCCACTGCTGCCTCCCATAGGAGTATGGGCCGTGTCTTAGTCCTAGTGTGGCTGATCATCCTCTCGGACCAGCTACTGATCATCTCCTTGGTAAACTATTACCTCACCAACTAGCTAATCAGACACGAGCCCCTCCTCGGGCGGATTCCTCCTTTTGCTTCTCAGCCTACGGGGTATTAGCAGCTGTTTCCAGCTGTTGTTTCCCTCCCAAGGGCAGGTTCTTACATGTTACTCACCCGTTCGCCACTGGAAACACCACTTCCCGTCCGACTTGCATGTGTTAAGCATGCCGCCAGCGTTCATCCCGGGCTAGGATCGAACTCTCCATGAGATTCATAGTTGCATTACTTATAGCTTCCTTGTTCGTAGACTATGCGGATTCAAAATTGTCTTTCATTCCAAGGCCTAACTTGTATCCATGCGCTTCATATTCGTCTGGAGTTCACTCCCAGAAATATAGCCATCCCTGCCCCGTCACGTCAATCCCACGAGCCTCTTAGGGAGGGAATGATGAAAACAATATGGAGGAAATCGACTGGAAAAGGAAAAGATAAGTGATATGATTATCCTTCTCCTATTAGGCCTACACCATTTTGTTTTCCATATGTTTTCTTCTTTCTATATTAGTGCTCTTTTCAAGTTATACTAGCATTTCCCCAATATTTACTTGGGGTTCTACATTACAGTTATATATGAGTACATTAAAAGTAAGCATAAGTATACTGGGTTGGGTCCCGGTGAGAAGGGTAAGAAGGGATCTCCACCCTTGGATCAATGCTCGTTATAAGCGCAATTCATGGGATGGGGGTGAGATTAAAAGTGATCAAGGGTCCAGATCCCTTCTTATGTTTCTCATCTTAACTCCTATTCTCACACGATCCTTCGTCTAACTATTCTTTGGTTTATTTTGTAATGGTATTGTATAACCATATTATATTGTCATTGCAGATCCTGAACTATAGCCACCTGATCTAAGGCCAAAGCTACCTTGACCCTGTAAAAAGCCACCTGGTCTGTAAGGTTGCCAGCTCAACACAGTACAAGGTCAAAGAAGCCTGCAACATTCAGTTAAATGTTGCCTTAATCTATATGTTGTAAAAAGAATCTGAAACTTTTGTCAAGATTTCTCTGTTCACTTGTATCGAACCTCAACTTTTTTCATTTGTTACGTAACATTTTCAGCAGCAAACTGGTGATTTAGGTACTGTTTTTGTATGAAGATATTTTAGTAGGTTTGATTTAGGTGCTATTTTTGTTCTCTGCAGCTAACTGGTGAAACTTCAGGAGAAGTGAAAGAACTGGCTGATACGCAGCAGCAGAGATGGCTATGCATCGAGATGCTTTTATTGCTTTGTCAGGTTGGTTCATATTCCTTCACGAAAATTCCTTATTGTTGCATATTTATGCAATGATTATGTTTTTTGGTTCATATTCTTGAGGAATGGTGTCCTGTTATTAGTATGTGAATCAAATCAAGAGCACACTAAAACTATGGTAGAAAGGATTGAATGTTTGTTAATTTTAGGAAATTTTCATTCAACTCCATGTTAGGATCAAGTTCTATGTCAAAATTTGAGGGGTCTGGGGTTGGGGGTGGGGGTGGGATGTATGCAGACCTCTACTCCAAACAGTAGAAGGGTTGCATCTGTGAAGACCCTGGCCTTGGAAAAATTGACCCGAGAGTTTCAGAAAGATTGCAATATTGGGTTGGGTTGGGTTGGGTTGGGTTAGTAAGTCGTGGTCTTCCGATTGTTGCAGTATCAGATTTTGTTCATGTATAGGAGTTGTCTATAAAACCCACAGTTGTGACCCTGATGGAGATTTGCAAACAGAAGTTCATATAGATGCTCGGTGTTACCTTTTTTAGATTGTCTTGATTGCTTTTCTCTTAGCTGCAAGTCTTGGAGGTTCCATATGTTAAAAGTGCTAGACCTGAATGTTGCATGTATCAAAATCTTTGCATATAGAGATTGACATCTCTTGTAAATGCTGAAGAAAGTCTTGCTTGAAAAAAGCAGCAGGTGCTGATTCTTGGACTGCTTTCATTGACGCATTTTGGCTTTGCTATTGTGAAGCAACTCACCTGCTCGGAAAAGCAACCGGTCCTGATTACTTTTGTTCCGAAAAACAAGAACCTGGATTACCTGGTTGGTTGGAGAGGTTTGAACCCTTTACCTTTGGTGAGGTTTGAACCCCTTACTGAGACCAAAGACTACGATATTGTTAGGTCAAAAGGCCCTTTGATCATCTTTTAATTATTGTATTTATTAGGGAAAAGTATTATTTATATGAACCAATTCCTATTTCATACGACATTATCTTGGCATATCTAAAATCAAAAGCATGTATTAAGCATGTAACACCCCCATTCCGAAGGAAGGGAGGTTACTTCAAAACGTAACGGAGCGCTATATAAAACCTCCAAAATATAGTCTCCAATACAAAATAAAATCTTCCA